AAAACCGAAAAAGAACCGAATCTTTCTAATTTTTTTTATATTGAGTAAATTAAATTATTTTAATTTTAATTTTTTCTAAACAAATTAACAAATTAACGATTTCTAAATCCAAAATTTTGGCCCAATAATTTGTTTCATTTCTAATTTTTTAATTTTTGGCCCAATTACCCATTTTATTGTTTCATTTCTTAGCCAAACAAGATCAAATCCACTAAATAACCGTAAACACCTACACTAAAGTGCATAACGTTGTCTCGATTCTCGCACTCACTCTCACAGCCTCGCTAATATTCCAAAACCTATACAATCGTCGGTCGACACTATGACCTCTGCCGATCGAAGCTTTGATCGTAGCGAGCATTTGAACAAGGTAGTTTACTAGTCCCTGACATTCCAAAACCATTGAATGTATCATTAGTTGTATTTATATAATATTATTATAAATGTTTAAAAATTTAATTACAGTACAGAACCGAACGAAACCGAACCGAACCGAATGGAATCGAACCCGAACGGTTCCATAATTATATTTGGACCCGACGGTTCCATTTATTAGAGACCCGAAAAGTTTGGTTCGATTCAGTTCTCTTTAGAACCGAATCGAATCGACCCGTTCCCACCCCTAACCATGGGCATTATATTAGACCTTCGACTATTCACATGGTGCTTGCAATTTTAGAGCCTATTTGGGAGTGATTTTGAGAATTAATTTTTTGACCGTTAGGAGAAAAGTGGGGTCCACTTGTGAGAGAAGAAGTCAAATATGACGGCTGAAATAGTAAAATAACGGTCAAAAAATCAATTTTCTGGGTGAAAAAATCGGACCCAAACAGCCCCTTAGTCTGTATTGTTGAGATACATTGGGTTGGATGGTAACATTATTTTCTTTTGCATTACACCAACTTAAACCCAAAATTCTTGAAATGTACTTAGAGTAAGAGGATGTTTGATATGGATTAAAATTAGATTTTTTATTAAATTGTGACAGAAGATTTTGAAATGAGTGGTTAAAAAGTTGTAGGACCTATAAAAATGTGATTAATATTAATTATATGACTTAACTTAAATTAAAATCAGATTTTACTTTGTACAAAACGGGCTCTAAATGCTAATACCAATTCGATGTACCTCCATCTAACACGCACCAAGCTAGAAAATCAAAATAGATAAGCCCCTCGGGACATATTCCAGTGATGCAATGGACAAGGGTTAGGTATACTTAGCCTTACTGGCAGTCACAGTGTGAATGTTCGATTCCTGAAACATGGATTGAGACTCTTTGTGGGCACCAGTATATAGGCAGCTCTTGTTCTTTGGTTTGCTGGGCACATCTCACGATTAACCTCTTTTACGATGCTCCAAAAACGTAAACGGTGAAGGACCCTTAAGGTTGGGGTTCAACCTCAACCTTAGAAAATCAAAATAGATAAGATAGAGAGATCCCAATCAATATCGCAGACTTAAAAAACAATTTCGACCTTTTATATCCAATCCACTGTAACGCTAATCAATGGTCGCAGGTTTGAGTTGGTCAGTATTCAATTCTGCCAGCTCACCCCTATCTATATTCTTTCCACTTGGTACTCTCTTAATTTTTTATGTTTTTTTTATATTATTGTTTGTAGCTAAACTACTTCAAGTACGTGACATAAGCAAAAGCCAAAATATAAGTACTTTTTTATGATAATAATTAATTGCTGAAGTATTTATTTAGGTTGTAAAGTAGTAAGTAGTTCAACATCATGATGGCCGGTTAGTTTCAACCATTTATTCATATGGACCAACGGAATATGATATTAAAAGTTGGATTTATATGCCCCCCAGGGCACTTCTCCACTGGCAAAGGACGGACGCTATCAAACCTGGCAGAGCAGAGGTCGTGAGTTCGAAACATGAGGCTCTTGGAAGGCCGGATTTATTCTTGGAAGGCAAGGGAACATTTGGAAGGCAAGGATTTATTCTTGGAAGGCAAGTGGGAACTTGGAAGGCAAGAATTATTCTTGGAAGGCAAGGTGCAACTTGGATTGGCTTGCTTGGCACTTTGTCAGACCAGGTGGGGAGCGCTCGGACCCTGGCCAGTTGGAGGCACATCCTGCGATTAACCGGACTGTGTGAAGAGGGGCCGGATCACAGACCCAAGGATTAGTCTAGAATAGGACACCTTGTAAAAAAAAAAAAAAAAAAAGTTGGATTTATACAATTTAAACCTTTTAAATTTGACGCTTATTTGATCAAAACCTACTTCGAATCTTAAGAGCATTTTTCATTTATGAAGAAGGGAGAAAACTTGAGAGTATTAACTCATTGAAATATTGAGTAGAAAATTGTGAAATATATATATTTTTTTCATTTTAAAATCATATAAGGGTGAACAATCAAACTTTTTGATGGCATTTAAAAGTTCAACGATCCGAGTAGAGTTGCACACCTCTCTTAGGTTATTGTACCAAGTAATATTACATTCGATTTCCCCTCTTTTAGATGACATACTCTCTTCTATTTTAACTCTAATTCATGACGAAATAGATCTCAAAGGATACGATAGTGAGTATAGACTTCAGGTCTTGTTGATGCCCAAGCTCACGTGTTGTCGAGGCTAAGTTACACTTCATACCCGTAGACTCCTTGGTTATGGAGCAATGTACTTAGTTCTATTTGAGTTAGGAGGCATTTCTCTTTCAAGCTAATAGTTTGGGTTCTCTAATATTGAACATCTCTTTAGCCCCTATTTGACAACCATTATTTTGGAAAAATAAAATTTTGAATAGTGATTTTTGGGAGAGTGAGTGGTTAAAAAATCGAAAAAAAAATTTGGGTTTACGTGCATAATATTTTATTATATAAATGTAGAGTTGAAAATAAGTATTTAATAGATTATAGCTTGAGATAGATAGAATTGCATATATGATATTATGATCTATATTCGTGATAAATGTTCCTGCGCCTAGTGTATTTTTATACATAAATTATCAAATACTTATTTTCTACTAGGGGGATTATAATATAGTTAATAGCATACCAATTTTTTTCTAAATGTTCTTCTATGAATTTTAGTACATCTTTCACAATTAAATTTAAAATGAAACAAATACAACAAATATGAAATAGAATATATACCACCAAAATTGGGGTCAAGTAGACGAGCTGAATTTGAATTATTACTGTGTTGACCATCACATTGTCAAATGTAAAATTATAAATTTTAATTTCACAATTAAATTCTCTATTATTGCATATTAAAGCATTAAAATTTTTTAGTAAATTATGTGGATATCAATTACTTTACATTCAATACATTTTTATGTTATCCATTGTCTATCTATGTAATGAAAGTAGCCGCTATTAACGTTAATGGTTAAACTCACTAGTGTATTAGCACCCATTGAGACTCGACGATCATCCGTGCTGACTCCACGGACGATATTTTTTTTTTTTTTTTTCCATTAGACAACTTCTCTTGTAGGCTTCTTCAAATCTAGTTGATAATCACATTAGTTATAGAATTAATGCCACTAAATCAAAGTTGTTTTCATTAGACTGGAATTCTTTTCTCTATGAGATAATTAATTTAAGCCAAGAGAATCAAATTTGTAAAAGTAAGGTTAAAAATTAGCCACCAACTCAAAATGTTTGTATGAAGATTTTTGGTTGATTTTATTCGTTTTAGGGTTTAGTCCTTGATGCAGTAATCACAGCATATAGAAACTGAAGAATGAAATTTACCAAGCCCACATTATTTCAAATTATAACTTTTCTCTCTTATTTTCAATCACGCAATCTTTCATAAAATAATATTACATATAAATCGAAAACTTTTCTTTCATTTTCAACGATACATTCTTCAAAAACGTATTATCTACGAACTTCTTCACTCGACTCGTCCCACCAACTTGCTAGCCTCTGGTGACTAACCATATTTTTCCTTCTCTCTCTCCCCCTCCTTTTTTTAATACCAAAATGCATATTTTTCACTTAGCTAGCCAGCTTGCACACAAGCCAACAAGTTCATAAGTGAGATAGCTCATGCAAGACACTCGGAAAATGAAGTGGGGAGGCGATATATACACAAGGAAAAGGTCCATTTTAAAAATAATAATAATAACAAAAATAATATGAGCTTTAACCCAAATGGTTATTTTTGTAACCGTTTGGTGGCAAATAGGAATGGCAATGGCCGAGCACAGCTCACGAGCTCAGCTCGGGCTCCTGGCGAGCCGAGCTCGTGAGCCCTCTCGCGATTTTTAAATTTATTTTTTTATTTTTTATTTTTTGTAAATTTACACATGTTTGACGAGCTCGTAAAAAATAAACTCATCTTGATTCATGATTAAAAAATTGAGTTCGGTTCGGTTAATGACTCGCTTGAATACAAGTTTGAGCGACCATGAATCTAGTCGAGATGAGTCGAGTCAACGAACAGCTCAACTCATTTGCTACCCCTGCCACATATTGTATAAAACTCTTCCATCGAAGAATTTAGATTGTGAGAACAAGATGAAACGTATTTCTATTTTGTCTTGGTTTTTTTTAATCTAAAAATAAACTCATCTTATAACACAGTTTAAAACAGAAATTCTAGATGGAAATCTTCGGGGACCTAAAATGAAAACTGAAGAAGATTGAAGACGGACAATACTAAACTCATGTTTGGTAGGTATTAAAATATAGATTTTAATTTAAGTCAAAGTCAATAATTAATTTCAACCATATATTTTATATGTACTACAAATTTTCAATCACAAATTTCATCAACTTCTATCAATATTTACTAAAAATATGATTTTAATCCCTATCAAATAAGGGCTAAAGTTATGAATATCTCGGAGGCATGTTTGGAGCAGCTTATGCTAAAAATAAGCTTTGGATCCATATTAAAATAGCGAAAACCTTTTTAGGCTTAAGCCATCACAATTCTCAAACATGGCCAATGGCATTGGATGCCATAGTCGTTGGCACAATGCAGTCAGCAAAGGTAATTAATGAATACAATGGCCTCCAAAAGACTTGACTTGTAAATCATTCTGGTTCCAAATTCTCTCTCTCACACAACACACTCAAGAATCAGCTGATCCATGAGAGAGAGAGTTATTGTTTCCTATTTTTTTCTTCGATGGATATAGAAAAATAAGAAAAAAATAGGAAACACAATTGAGCCAACAAACAAAAGACAAAAGATTTATACTTTATACACCCAACTCCATTATCACTACCATACAAAAAGTTTTAGCAAACTGTTGTTTCTCCGATTTCTCTTCGTTTTATCTCCAATTGTCGACGCAAAATTTGTATCAATTTATTATCTACATCAAAAGGTAAAAGGCTGTACCAATTTCAGATCTGGTTCTGTTCTCGGGTTTGATAGTTCCCACACGAAGCGTATCCGATGCTTTTTCACTGTAGGAATCCAATTTTCTTTGATTTTGAATAACATTTTTCTCAGATCCGACAAAGTCCCATATTCCGATTGTTTCGTTCAACAATTAACAAAGTTCCATATGCCCTTTGTTTCCATCAGTTTTCCATTTGAAATTCGGAGTCCAAGAAATCTCGTTACGCTTACCGATAAACGAAGTTTCACATCGTCAAATTCCCGAGAAAGCCTATCACGAAGAACCCTAAATTCCGTCTTTTCATTTTGTTTCTTCTGATAAATTTCGAAAGTTTATTATATTTTTTTCCCATTCAGTCGTGAATGGACACCGTCGGTGGTGAGAAACTCCGGGATTTTCTAAGAATTAAACAGGATAATAGTACGAACATTAATACTGGCGGCGGCCGAAACGACCCGGCGGGCCTAACATTAACCGCTGTCTTGAGCGACAGAAGATTACCGTCGGCAGGTTCGGAGGTGTCGTCACCGCCACGGATCCAGTCTTTTCGAACACTGTTAGATATAATCCAAGAAGACCAAACGTTTAACAATGCGCGTATGAAGGATAACAAAAAGAGCTGGAAAGGTTTAAAAGGCAAGCTCCGCTTCGGCCGTGGTGGCTCCGTCCCCGGTTCATCCTGGACCTCCTCCATGCGCATGCCCACCTCCGAAATCCCCATCAATAGAAGCAACCATATAAACGCCGTGAATAGTACAAGTAGCCGGATGTTCATGCTGCCAGCATCCGCCGGGTTGCCTTACTTGGACCAGTCCACTCAGCCAGATATTGCCGCGGTGTCTGATGCGGATAGAGACCTGATGTCGTCCCCCAGAAGCAGGCCATCCCCGAGTTCGCAGAGGAATGCGAACCGTGCGGAGGGGAGAACAAGCGAGGATACTAATTCATTATCAATGCCAGGAGCAAGGGTAGATGAAGGAGATGAGGCATCACCGACAGAGGCAGAACAAGTTCAAGGCGAAGGCGAGAGCGAAGAGGAGATGGGAAACGAAGAGGGTGGAGGGGAGCAGCAGCCAGTGAGGATGTCATTAATGGCGTTGTTGGCTGAGACAGATAGGGAAATGGGATTGGGTGGATCAGCGTACTCGACCGAGGAGGAGGAAGATGACAGCGGCACCGCCTCCGCTGCCGTCGCCGCCGCCACCACTACCGAGTATAACAGCTGTTGTGTGTGCATGGTGAGGCACAAGGGGGCGGCGTTTATACCATGTGGACACACTTTTTGCAGACTCTGTTGTAGAGAGCTTTTGGTGCATAGGGGAAGCTGCCCACTCTGCAATAATTACATAGTTGAAATTCTTGATATTTTCTGATTAATTCATCATCATCAAAGATTCAAAGATTCAAATTATCCAGTAAGTCACACCCCCACCCCCCCCCACCATTTTTTTTCTTTAAATTTTTGGTTGCATTCTGTAAATAAAAAGGATTGATTATTGAGGTTTATTTATCCTTTGCTTTCTTTTTTGGGGTCAAATTTTTTATATCAATTATGAATCAGATCAACTAGTGGTTGTATAATTGGGGCTGGCATTTGGTCACATGCTGTATGTTATCAAGCATCTTTGGAATCAAATTAGTAGCTTCTCAAAATTCCCGGACAAGAACTTCATTAGGACAGGAGAAATTATATTTTTTCTTCATTTTTATACTATTTTTTTCTTCTAATGAGAATTTAATTAGATTACCCAGAGAAAATGCAAAAAATGCCTTCTTTTTTACCTTCTAGTTATGCTTCTTTTGTGTTCCATATAGGGTCGAAATGTGAGCTTGTGCTTAGAATAGAACCGTCAGAGATAATGTAAACATTTATGTGGGTCAGTCTTATCCTCGATGTAGCTGAATCGACTGCCAATGCAGTCTTTAGATCCTATGAAAATAAAGGGAAATCTTTATGGCCGTGCCACAGCCCTTTTATAATTTGCTTTCCTTTTTTTTTTTCCCCCCTCTCTTGACAATGTTTACCCGGGATTTTCCATCTTATTTCTTAGATGTAGCAACTACATTGATAATTTGCTATTGTGACATGAAGGAAGATAGAAGTTAAAATTTTGTCCTCTGTGGTGTCTAGCGTCTAGTGTTATGTAGTGCATACCAATCATGTTCTTTGGATTTCGCACATATGTACCATTAGAAAATGTGAAAAACTAAAACAACTTAAAACTAGCAAACATTGAGAAGTACATAGCCTGCTTTCCCTCTCTTAAAGCTAGTTAGCAGCTAGATAACATTCTTAACCTTTTGGCATAGAGTAATTGTATCCCAATTCAAACTGGTGTCTTTCTCTGTGTAGATTTCATGTCATCGGAAATAGGAATTTATCTTCGAAAATTACCTTGACGCTATAGACTGTTTGTAATGAGTATTATTTTATTTGTACAGAAATATTCTCACAGAATTTTACCGGAAGAGACTCATGTGTGTGGGGCCCATGCTTTGATAAAAAATGCCAAAAAAATCTCCCACCCTTGTCTATATTAATTCTGTAATTCATCAGTTTGGTAGTGTAGAAGAGTTGTTGTAATGATTATCATTATGGACGAGTTTCCTACAAGAAGGAAAACTTGGTGGTGTAATTTATAGTACCAATAGGAAACTTGTGAACACGATGGCTTTTTTGGGTTTTTAAATTCTGTTGTTACATCAATTAATAAGAGAAATAACATGACATTTCTTGCTTCATTCACGGAGGGACTTTTGTGTTTTTGTTTGTTTCTTCATGTTCATGGTTATACTGGTGCTCGATGATTCAATCAGTGTTTTGATAGCATCTAGTGATCTTACATTGTTGAGGTTGATATTTGACACACTTCATAGAACTCAAAACTTTTATAGCTTTTCAACTATATATCTCATCAATTTTTACCAAATTATACTAAAAATATAATTTTTAGCTACATCAAACAGGATTATCGTTTGGAGTTGTCATTTTAGGTTTTGAATTGAAAATTTTCCTTAGCCCCAATTTTTAGATCTGAAGAGTTGTTGATTGGTTTACGCAGTAATCAATTTAACGAACCCAGAATCAGTAATTGGTCGAGAGCTGAATTACATACAGATTTCAAGAGTAACCTATCATGCAACATAGAAATAGTTTTTGTGGCCCCCAGGGCACATCTCCAAGTGGTAAAAGGGGAGGGTGGAGAAATCCAGCTTTGCTTGAGGCTGCTGCGTCAAGGGTTCGAATCCTGAAATATGGATTTGACTCTTGGGTAAGTGTAAGTGTACAAGCAGCCTTCCACCCTGTACCCTTGGAGGCATAGCTTGCGATTTACCTTCCTCACGATACTCCAGAGTAGGGGTGGTGGGGGACCCTTAAGGTTAGGGTTTAACCTTTAGAAAATAGTTTTTGTGGGATAAAGTAATATAGCCAGACAATACTGTCTGTGATTTGTGTGCGTCTATAGGACGAAATTTTTATGTTCCTGATAAACCAGAAGTTTGAATGCTGCCAAATTTATTTTCTTTCTTTCTTTCTTTTGGGGTCCTTTACTCATTACTCATTTTCAAAGTCGAGAAAAGAAGAAAATCATGGATTGTTATGATTCACATCACATGTAGGACAAAGAATATGTTTAGGATTGGTGCTCTTTCATCGCCTCAATTTATGGAAAATAATAGTTATGCATTACAATCGATCATGGTGACTATATTCTACAGTTGGTGCCGACCTGCGAACTCTTGGACAATTGTGTGCTGAATAACGAGTTAATTGTTGCAATGGTCATTGAATTTAGGTACATGTCTTTGATTGGCCAATGAACTTTAAAATGTCGAATTTTGGTCACTGAACTATGAAAAATGTCGAGTTTTAATTACTGAACTTATGTCCATATCTTTGCTTGGTCACTGCACTTTAAAATGTCAAGTTTTGGCTACCGAACTTTGAAAAATGTCGAATTTTGGTCATTGAATTTAGGTCCATGCTTCGATTGCTCACTGAGGTTTAAAATGTCGAGTTTTGACCACTGAATTTTGGAATATGTCGTACGTTATTTACTAGCATAAGTGTTGAACTTTAAAAAATATTCAGTTTACAGTGAATAATATACAATATTTTTCAAAGTTCAGTGAGTAATGTAAAATATTTATTAAAGTTCAACGGTCAAAACTCAACATTTTAAATTTCAATGAGCAATCGAAGACATGAAGCTAAGTTTCGTGACCAAAAATCAACATTTTTTAAAGTTCAATGATCAAAACTCAACATTTTAAAGTTCAGTAGCCAATCAAAGATATGAACCTAAGTTCAATGACCAAAATTCGACAGTTTAAAGTTTAGTGGCCAATTAAAGACATTGATCTAAGTTCAGTGATCATTGGAACAATTAACTCGCTGAATAACGATTGTGATTCGTGGAGTTTAACATGGAAATAGAAGTTTAAGCTATAAATAATACCATAAGTTATTTTTTATGAATAAGCGATAGAGTTTAACAC